GTTCAGGTGTAAGTTAGGGCGGGCCCGTCATCCGATACGACTGTGTCCTTGAAGAGGAGGAGACACAGGCAGGGCGAGCCACGGGCAGACGGACACACGGAGGAGGGAGGGCCACGCAAGGAGGGCGTGATGCAGCTGTGAGCCGAGGAGCCCCGGAGCGCCATCAGCCACCGGAAGCCGGGCGAGAGAGCACCGCCCCGTGGGCACCTGGATTTCAGACTTCCCGCCTCTGGAGCTGTAAGCGAGAGAGGAAACTTCCATTGGTCCAAGCCGCCCGGTCTGTGGTCATGTGTGACGACAGAGCCTGACGCGAGGTCCCTTTCCCTGTCTGCCCTGTAGTTTGCCCGCCTGCAGAGTGAGGCAGTGGACATACATGCAGTCCAGACCCTCCCTGGCCTGACAGGGGACTTCTCCAAGGGATTGGCCTCCGCTCCCCGGTCTTGGCTACTCTTGAGGAGCAGGTGGCAGGTGGCACCTATACCCCAGAAAGATGCTGTTATCTCAAGGCACAGGAGCCCCCTCGGCTTGCCTTCCGGGGTCTCTGCTGTCTCTGCACAGGGCCAAAACGGTGAGCCAGTGAACGCTGGCTCAGATCTGTCCCCTGGTCTCAGCCCCTGCAAGAGCTCAGCTCCCACTGTTTGCATCAGTAGTGTAGACGAACTCTGGGAAACAGAGAAGACTCACAAACACTGTGACAGTTAAGAATCTTTGGAAACCAAATGACAGTCCATATCAAACTGACTTAAAACGATAGGAACAGTGATTGTCTCCTGGAACCAGAGGGATGTGACTTCAGGAGAGGCTTGATCCCGGGGCTCTGCTACCTTGTCTGCTCTCCTTTGGGACCGGCCTCACGGCCAGGCTGCCCCCATGGTCCACAGCGGCGCTGGAAGGGGTCCTGGGGAAGAAAGAGGGGCGCGGTCTTTAACAGAAGCCCCAGAAAATGTCTTCCCTGGTCTCATTAGCTATTTGATTTCATACCCTACCTTGCATCCCGCCACCGTAATGGCTCTGAGCCCCCCAGCGCCTGTCCTGGAGCTGGGGATGGGGTCAATCCCACCCAAGCCACAGGGCTGAGAATGGGGGCTCTCCCAGAGCAAAGTCTGGGTGCCGTCAACACCAGGAGGAGGAAGGCTATCAGTGCCAGCACGAGACCACGAACTGTCCACTCTGTGAGCCAAAAGAGCGAAATAAGTGTGGCCTTGATGCCACCGCCTGGAGAGACACCCTGGCGTTTTGGGGTCTCCTTCCACACCTGGGTGGTGCGTTTCAGAATGACGAGAAGAGATGAGAAGGACGTTTACTGAGTGGTCCCTGCACCAGGCGCTGTGCTACACGCTTCAGACGCATTAAGCCATTTCATCCTCACGAGACCCCAAAAGGCATTCACTGAGCAGCCATCTGCTGAGCCCCGTTCTGTGCCAGGTGTCACGACAGATATTAAGGATACGCTAATGGGCGAAGACGCCCCGCCCTCCCCCGAGCTTCCCTCCTTGGAGGTGCGATTCTCCCCATTTTACAGGTGAGAAAATCAAGGCGCAGAGAGGGGCAGCCACACGCCTGAGCTGCAGAGCTGAGATCCAAACCCTGGGTCTTTTGCCCTAAAATATGTGTTTTTAACCTGAGCACGTCCACGCGTGACAGCTTTCTCTTTAAGACCAAGATCGGTCACTTCAGACGTCCTCTGCCAGCATGCCTGGCTACTCCTCCAGGCTAGCCGGTCAGGACACTGCCCTGACTGCAGGGACCGCTGACCTGAAGCCTTGGACTTGGGTAGACCTGACCTCACCCCTGGGCCTCCCGGCCAGCCAGGGCCCAGCGTGCGTGCACTGGCTTAAAATGCTCGCTGTCTGGCCCTTGTAGAAAAGCTTGCCAACCCTTGACCTGGAAGATGGAGACAGTCATCCCCGTGGGAACGTGGGATCCGGAGGGCCCCCTCGCCGGTGTGTCCCCTGCCTGTCACCTACCCCGGGGCGTTCCCAGATTTAGGGAGAAACTGTGTTCGACACTTAACACAGGCCTGGTGCCCAGTCCATGCTCTGAATGTGAGCGCCCATCCTCTGATGCTCTGGAGAAGGGAACCGCCCCAGCGTGGGGTCCGGAGCGCGGGGGTCCCCAGGGCAGATCACTCAGCACGCAGGAGACTGCAGTGGAGAGGGTTGTCAGCTGCCTTAACGGAGGTTTAAAGGGTTAATGGACGCTGTCGTCTTTGAGAGGCTCAAGGCCGTGGTCCTCTCCCCCACCCTCCTCGTGAGTGGCGGTGACAGTGCCCCCGGATGTGGGCCTCAAGGCCTGCGCCCGGAGCTGCCCGCCCACCGTCTCCTGGCTATTGTCTGCGTGGCTCAGGGCTGGGGGCAGGCCGCTGGGACTGTGGGAACGGATTAGTGGCCCTGGGCTTGCCTCCCCGTGGCAGAAACTCCTGATCAAAGACATTCCTGGGATGACAGAGTCCTGTGTGCTCAGGGGCTGCCCAGTGTGCAGGACGCACCCCCACCGCAGCCCAGCACATGCGTGCCCGCCGGGCCCACGCTGCAGCCGGGATCGGCCTTGTGATGTGATCACCGTCACCCACCAAGCGTGGAGCCGAGACGCACGGTGGCCAGGCTTCCAGGAGGCCCCGGGCAGATGGGCTCGGAGGAATGTGGGGAGCCAGGCACTGCAGCTGGGGCTCCCAGGGGCCCCCAGGGGCCCGGCGGCACCTACCTGTGGAGTTGCAGCTGCAGCTGCCTGCTCCGGGACCCCCACCGCTCCCCTCTGTGGTCCCGGCCTGGAACTGACTCCCCTGAGCGCACACCACAGGGCCCTGGGGCCTTTCTGCCTTGGCCAGGATGACGAGGTGCTGCCTGGGCTCCTGGGGAGCCTCCGCCCCCACCTCCTCACAACGCAGAGTCTGTCCCTGGTCCCCAGGTCAGTCAGGGCGGTCCCTGTCTCTCTGTAATGACCGAGGCGAGCTGGGTGACCTGTGGGAATGGCTCTCATCCCCTTGCGCTCAGCTCCCACGTTTCATACCCGCTGTTTGCCAGGCTGGACTCGGGGGGCAGAGCGGGTCAGCAAGTGTCTGTCCTAAGGGCTCACACCGGGGTGTAGTGATTCCCGGGCCTCCCGGGCCACCTGCCTGGGGCTGGGTGGGCAAAGCCTGCAGGGGTCCCACACGAGCCTGGAGGCAGAGGGGCGGGCGCTTCAGGCTGAGTCCGGTGTGCCCTGCGGTCCCACAGGCAGGCAGCGGGGCCAGAGGCTGGGGAGATGGAGGCGGGGGGAAAGGGGGGAAGATGGGGGGACTGGTCCCAGGGCCTGTGCTGGAGCCAGAGGGGCCAGAAGCCCCAGGAGGGTTTGGCACAGGTGCGGGGGCCACCAGGGGAAGGGAG